TTCCTCGGTTTCCTCTTTTTCTTTTTCCTTTTCTTTTTTCTTTTTTTCCTTTTATCTTTCTTCTCTTCCTTTTCTTCTTTTCCTTTTCCTTCTTTTCCTTTTCCTTCTTTTCCTTTTCCTTCTTTTCCTTTTCCTTCTTTTCTTTTTCCTTCTTTTCCTTCTTTTCCCTCTTCATCTTAGCCTTTTCTTCTTTCTTCCTCTTTTTAATGTCTTTCCTCTCCTCTTTCGCCTTAATCTTCTCTCTCTTCTTTTTTTCTCTAACCTCTTTCTCCTCTACTTTCTCCTTCTCTACTTTCTTCGGCTCAATCTTATCCTCTCTCTTCCTCTTTTTGACATCCGGTGGCTTCTTTATCTCCTCGGGTTCCTCGGGCTTCCGTTTCCTCTCTTTCCTCCTTTCCTCCTGCTTCTTCTTTTTGTACTCGGCCAAGGCCTCTTTACCTCTCTCCTCTTTCTTGTTGATCAACAATTTCTTCCAAGTTTTCGCCAACGGGTCCTTCCTCCCCTTTATCATCTTGTACGACGGCAAAGCTAGAAAGCTCATCCAAGGTGTGATCTATACGTATTCGAAAGAAATCAAAACAAAATTCATGGTTCCTCGTTCGAATTGGAGGGAGGGGGGAGAAAAAAGGAATTTTAATCGGAGGAAAAACAAACTTTATAAGTGAGCGCGCTTCTCATTATACCATGAGGTGTGAAAAGCTCTTCCATCTCCTCTTTGGTCAACTGTTGGGGACAATCGATCAATTTTTTCGCCAAAGCCAACTTCCTCAATCTTTCCTCATCGAGTACTCGTTTCTCGCACAACGACAATTTCGAAGGCTTACACTCCTCGGGTAGATAGAGACGAGGTTTACTGAGCTGAAGGATTCTCTCGGTCGCCTCGTATTTTAACGCTGCCGGCGAAACTTGATAATAAATCCGACCGAAATCGCATAATTTTATATTGGGCAGCGCCAATAATATCGTCCTCTTAGATGGAACGGCTTGCAACGCAGCTTTCGAGATGGTAAGATCCAATTTACAGTGAACGCTCATATCGACCGTCTCGCGAGGTTTGGCCAACGTTTTGATCCGTTTTTTCAACTGGGATAACGGTTTCGACACTCTAACCTGAAAAACGGTTTTTAACGGTTTCACGTTTGAAGTGCATGAAAATAATGTTGGAAGTGTAATAATACAGTTAAAATAATACAGTTCAAGTGTACTAAACTATAGGTTCGAGTTCCGGCAACTTCTTCGGTTTCGCTTTGATCTTTGCCAGGCATCGAAACGTGTCCAATCAGCCGGTGTCGCTAGCCATCCTTTCAATTTTAATTTAGTCCTAACTTTTCTAAAAATCATTTATATATACAGGATTATATATATATATATATATATATATATATTTTTTTTAAATCGTATATAGGATGTTGATATAATACTTTTGCTTCAATTCTAGAGACCAAAACGAAAAAATTCAAGAAAGATCTATCGAAGCATATTAAATTATTTGTGACAATTTTTTATATTTATTTTCCGTAAAATATATATTGAAAAGATAAAGATGTAGCTTGTAATAATATATTGAACATCCTATTATATATTCATTTGTATATCTAATTAAAATAATTTTTAATAAACATTGATATAGAAGAAATTTCCTTACTTTACTTTATGTTTTGTTTTATTTACTTTTCTAGCTCTACTAACTGGTCTAGGAGCCGTTTCCCTTGGTCTTTTTGGGGGTGCTGCTTCTCTTGCAGGTTTTGGAGGTTTCATTCTTGGAGGCATTTTTCAGAGTTATTTTCCGATCTGTATATATGTATATAAATATATATATATATAAATAGTAAATTTGATTAATTATCTTCACAAGATTAAATTCAAAAAGAGGATAAGAGACAAACATTTCTACTGCTAACAAATATTTCTATTGTTATTTGATTGCAGGTTAAATAGTTTTTTCGATTTATCGGATGAAGATTATGAATATTAATCAAGATATGTTACGGTAACATTTTTTATTGTATTTTTTATTGTATTCACTGTTATGTTAAATTATCCATTTTCAATATCACTATTTCATTTTGTTCATTTTTTTTTATTTATTTATTTATTTATTTATATTTGTGTTGTATGTGAATTAAGTTTACAAGATTTAAAAAAAAAGAAATAAGCGTTCGTTTGTTTTCCATCGATGTAAATATTCATGTTGAATAAAAACTAGAAATTAGAAGTGTCAAAGTGTTTATTGATATTTATTTATTTTACATTACATGATCAAATTTATAATTCTATTTATTTTTTCTTTAAAAATGGCAATTTCGTGTTATATTTGTTAATCGTTTGAAAGTAATTTTCAAAATCTTCGTAAGTCCCATTGTGATTTATATTTATATAATTTTTTGGTTTTGCAAGTTCGTGCAAACGTTTCGAGCATCCTTTATTTCTGGCTGCGGTAATACGGGCATAAGTGTCTAATAAAAATTTTTTCTTCTTTGACTCTTGTGCATCCTTCGATTGTTCGCTGCTATTTATCAATTTGTGATGTCCTTGCTTCACTACGAATAATTCCATAATTGAATGATTGCATAACGAAAGATGTTGACGTTCGTTATTTTCCACCCGATATATTGAAATGGTTTCATGCTTACGGACCAGCTCTCCAAAAATTACGCTCACTTTTTTTTTTTAACAAATCTTTCTTACGCGATAATTCTTATATAAAAATTCCATAAAAAGTGAAAGTGATAGCTTGGAGAGCTCTCCCCGTTACATTACCTGTAGTTGGAGAACTTTTCGCGCTGAAATTAGACGTATTGGACACATTTGGTTTTCGTTTAGGTTGAGCTAATTTGTTTAACGAATCTGTAATTTGATACGACAAAGCACCACGTTTTACCTAAAATATTGATCGAATTAAAAGACTTGCGCTCTATCTAAATCCCTTTAGATAGTATAATTTTTAATTACTTACATTGAAAGCGTTGTAATTATTGACTTTATCTATTCTTTTTTTAGGCTTTGCTAATTTTTCATATCTTGGTACATTGTCTTGACAGGCATCCGTGTTCATATCGTTCATTTGATCGTTAAATTATTATTTAATTCAAGATTTGCAATGCTTGAAATATGACAATAGAAAATTTTAAAGTAAATTAGATTAATGATAAGACAGAAGATTTTGAAAACTTTATTTTAAATATGATATGTGACAGTGAAGTGATCGTAAAATAAGATAATTGCAAACTTCAATTCTTTTCGGTAATAGATCAGTAACTGTGAACAAAATCTATTTTATTGTGAAATTAATCTTTTAAATTATTGTTGTAAGATGTTCAAAACGGAGTAAATATATTTTTCATTTTTTCTATTTTTCTATTTTTGTCATTTTTATTGATAAAATTTCTTTATATAATAGAGATAAAATAATGGAAAAATCTGTCATCAAAAAGCCTCGTAATAAACGAAAAACTTATTGGTGTGCTCCTAGAAAAGTAAAAAGTACAAATATTCTAGAAAATATCGACAATTCCTTACAAGACAAAAAGATAAAAAAAGTAAAATGAAACGCTTTATTTTTATTACTCGTATTATTTTAATCAATAAATCTTCTTTTATTTTCTTAAAGTATTTTTCTAAAATATTTATCTTTCCTAAAGTAAGAAAAACTTGAAAATTAATAATACATAAGATATTATATTTATTTTTAGAGACATAAAAAAAAACGGAAATCTGTAAGAAATATGAGACGTATCGATATCTTAGCACAACCTAAATCCATGAAACATGAACTGCAACATAAGAGACATCTCTCCAATGTAAGCTTTATTATTTTTCGTTTTTATTACTTTTAGTTTTAAAAACTATTCTACAATTTATTAATTTAATTGTTTGGCAACATTAAGGCAAACTGTTCTATCAGGAAATATAATGCTATAAAAAAATCTATTTCATCAAATCAGAAAATTATCACTTATCCACATAAAACTTTAAAAACGAAGAAATTTAAAGGAGCACACAAATCAGGAAATTCTATGATAAATTTAACATTAAAAGATTCATCTCCAATTATATTACCGAAGAAAATAGGTGTTCGATTATTTTCTTTAGGTCCTTATTTTTAACTTTTATATATTACTTTTATTAACTAGTAAGTTTCAGATTAATTATAATATTTATTAATTATAATAGTAAAAAAGAGACTTAGAGAACTGACAAATTGCAAAAATATGAAATAAGAAAAAACATATCGAAAATGAAGGATTAAAAATTACACATCTGTATAAAGAATTACGAAATATAAAATTCATATAATTTTGGATAAAATGAAAAGATAGTAAGTAAGATAAGTAAGACATTATAAATTTACTTTATTCTTCAATAAGTATAAAAATATTAATGGACGGCATAATGACGATAACATTAATGAACGACATTTATTACATGCAGTAAAATCTTATCTTATAAAATATCGAAAAAGGACGGAATATTATATCTTAGTCTTGAATTCGCAAAATGATAATATAAATATTATGGAAAACTATTTACTACATTACTATATTTACTTAGTTAACGATGTATCTGTATATAAAGTACAAAAAATATAATTAATTTGTGAACGTATTTCATACAAAGATTAAGGCACTAAATATAGCTAAATCTTCTAAAATTTTTTCTTTTTCATCAAATGCACATATTTATATTATATTCAACAAAGATTCATTTGTTCAAAAAAAATTATCGAATCTTTTATCTACTAAATATATAAGTAAGTATAATCATAACTATCGTAAATAATATTGAATGTCTTATAGCTGATGCACCAGCTCTACAATCTACGATTCTTCTAGCTCTCATAAAATCTGGACCTAAATACGCACTAAATTCTCTTTTTTCTGGTGGTATTACCACCAATTGCTGCGTAGCATCTTGGAAAATCAAATCACTGTAAGGTGGCGGACTGTAAAACATACTAAAACTAAATTCGTCTTGTTCTTTTCTACCATAAAATTGTTGGGCATAAATAAATAAATTTATATAAGCATTTATTTGTGTTTCATTATAACCATAATATCCACCACGAGTAACTATTGCATTGGCTGCGACTTTCCCTAAATTGCAATGTTTATAATCGGTTGTCGGTCGACGAGTACCATCTGGACAAAGTAGTTCAAAATCTTTTGTAAAAGTATTACGTGCCCACATTTCTCGTCGTTTTCCATCAGTATTTTCCGCAACTGTCGTATGTTTTACAAACGCTACATCTCCACCGCCTTCAACTAAACATCTAAAGGCACCGGTATATCCAAAATAATCTTCAGACGCATCTCTGCGACAGTAGCGGAAACTTGCACCATGGCACAAGTCACACATATTATCATATGGTACTCCTGTAACATATAATTTCGATGAATTTGTAATCAAAACTAATTAAAAAAAATAATTTAAAAATTATAATTACCTGTATTGTATTCAGTACTAAGTGCACCCGGAACACAAGATTTACTAAAATATTCTGCAGCAGCACGAACTGAATCACATCCGTAGCCTCTGATCCAAGTATTAGAAATAAGATATGCTAATGGATATACCCAACCTGCTGCTGTATTTATTCCTGTATGACAAGTATATTTATTTTTAAGATAAGTTAAATCCGTATTATCGTCCTCTTCTTTTGCCACTGCAACTACATAATATTCTGGGGTAGGTAAATTGTAAACTTCAGATATAAACGGAATTAAATCAAAGCGTAAACCAGCAGTATATACGTCACTAGTATCTAATACTGCTACATCGGCGATTCTAGAAAAGAAAAATAATTTATAATAAAATAAATTCTTTTTTATAAAATAATCGATTAATGTTGAATATTTTTGATAAATTTTTTTTCAATGTTTGAAATATATATACATACCCACTTTGAATAGCCTGCATACAATGAATTTGACTATGACCTTTATGACAATTTAATTCTGGCTTCAATAATTGTGCTTTTAATGCTATCTAATATAAAAATAATTATATTATATTATATATTAATAATTATATTATATATATAATTTATAATATATAATATATAATATATAGATAATAAATAAACAATAAAAAAGATAATGTATGAAAATATCAATTAAAGCTTATTAAGTTTTCAAGCATTATTAATTTATTAAGTTATAAGCAATTAAAAATTGCGTTAAATAAAATGAGATAACAAAATGCGATAATATAACAAAAATAAAGTGGTTCGTTTTATTTCTATTTTATTTCATCTAACAGAAATTTAAATTGTTTATAAGTTATATATAATAAATAAGTCTTAATTGATATTTTTATGTATCAATTTTTTATATTTCTATATTTATTTTAACTTATAAAATCGATCAAAGATACACAAATACATTAATATGTTGTAAATAAATAATATGTATATATATATATATATATATATATATATATATATATATTATTATT